GGGTGACCTCAGCGACACTAGCACGTCTTTACAATCTGCAGCACACACAGTCAAAACAGCAAGAACTGGCCCGATAGCTGGACTCCACTATAGAACATTTTCTAACCAAGCATGGCAATTCGAACAACGCTGTATACTTCAGCTGACAGATATAGGTCATGTTTATTCAGGATTTTACTCAGCTAAAGCCTTACAGCTTTAGTAAAAAGTTGCTTGAGATTCTATTAATATATGTAGGACTTTAGTATAAAAATGTAGATTACAGTAGCATTCAGTACTTTTCGACCCCAGTGGGTACACTCTCATTCACCAGACTATGCTTGTATTGATTCTCATACACGTCAATCCATTGTACACCATATTCACTGCACACACTGACAATAAATCAACTAGTCAGATCAGCAAATCTCTATGAATCTGTCCATCATTTCTATAGGATCACCATATGTTTATTCATCATTTCATGGCAATATTTATTTTGCATTGCATATAGTCAATTGCATGTCAACTCGCAGTATTGCTTGAATTATTCCACGGTTCTTTAACTGTGAAGAAGATGTTTCTGTCCCTCTTTACTCTTAACACTATTGGTACACATCAATATCGTGCCAATATGTGATCGACCACACCATACCTCGCCCCCCATTTACTTTATAGGCAGCACCAGTTTCAACTTCAACAGATAGGACTGTTTTACCAGTTTTCACCTTCGCCATCATCATTGTCACCCACTTGGGTAGTCTCAGAGCAGACTTAGGATCAGTATCAGTATAGGACCAGTTCAGCAATCATTTCAGTATAGGAAATCCCAGTGTGGATTATAGGATAAGTTTTTGACATCAGATAGGATCGTTTTCAGCTCAGTACCATTCACCTCCAGTTTCCATATCACCTGTCCAGTTTTAGGATCAGTTTTGACCAGTTTCAGCACATCGTTCATGTTTATTCGATTGAGCAGCACATTTATTCTCAGCATCGCCAGTCCCTTGACCTATTGCCATATCGCTCAGGCATTTCTCTCTCGTTTCCCCACTCATATTAACATTTTGAGCACATTTTCTTGAGTCTCATTCTCTGTTGCTGTTTCAGAATATGGTTTCTTGATATTCACGTCATATCAGGTGCCATTCCCTCTCATTCTACGAGACCCTCACGACTTACTGTCATTCTTTCGATTCTCTGACACTCATGTCATATTATCTGCTTGACTGCATAGTCCAAGCATATCTTCACACCCTTAAAGCTTTGATTTACTGCATGGAGGTGCCCCAAACCCACTCACATACACGATCATCCTAGTATTGCCATGTTCACATGTTTATTCTCCATACTCTGCCCGAGTTTGGTTTTGCCATTGCCACGGAAGTCTAGGCTCATCATCATGTTGTCGGGCAAGTATGAGGAGAATGATCCCCATCTCTCTCTCTTCTTCCCTTGTCCTTTTCCATATTCCATAGATTCGGTGCCCAGCTGAGGTTGGGTATAGTTGTTGATCAAGGTTGGTGTGGATCCGAGCTCGAATGGTAGCGTCTCTCCCTCTTTGAGGAATATCGTCTCTGTGATTGATGGCCAGCCACTCGTCCATGTCCAGACAAATAGGTGAGTGCCATCCTCCTCAGGCCTCGAGGTCAGTGCATTGTAGCTCCTAGGCTTCTGACTGGGTGGGGCCAAATATGTCTCTGTCTGCCTAGGAGAGGGTAGGCCAGTCATAGTCTGCACTTCGTGGATTAAAGGGATTGTCAGGGGAGTCATGGAGCGGTCCATCACTTTCTGAGTTAGGGGAGGGAGTGCGAGGGGGCATGGTGGGCTGTGGCTTGAGGGGGTTTGTCTGTTGCTCGGGGGAGTGTAGAATGATTGGGAGGCTGGACCCTCACTCATTGGCATGGGACTCTTCCTGGGGGGTGGGACATATTGTTTCTTCATCTTCCGGGAACTGCTTGAAGGAGCCTTGGAGCTCCCATTCTGGTCCAACGACTCAGATTCTGAATCCATCAAGACTGAGGGGTCTTTCTGGGAGAGCAGGCTCAATGTAGGTGGGTGGGATGCTCGCCTCATATCTTCCGAGAAGGTACTGGCTGAGGTTGTAGGCTTCCTGAGCAGTTGGAGGTCAATCTGTGATGATTTGTGGTGCTGGAAAGGGTTCGTCCAGAGGGATGGATTTGAGGGTGGTGGTGTCAGGGGAAGGGGTTCGAGGAACTCCTCTTGGTTAGCTGGGCCCAGGGGTTGCGTTCCTAGAGGGGTCCTGCCATGGCAGAAACTCGTCGCTGGAGTTGGCAGTGAAGCCGGGTCAGTGGACAAGGTCCTGTTGTGATACAGGAACGGGTTGTTCGACTTGAAAAGGGGGAACATAGCTGGTGGGTAACTGCAGTTGGGGGCAACGTTCTCCTAGTCATCAGAAGAACTGTCGTATCTCCTCTTCGTATTTGAGGGTGAGAGCGATGATGGAAAATATCACTAAGGATCCTAGGATGATGGAGAGGGCAATTACGATGGCTTGTTCGAAGTTCTGCATAGGTTGGTTTCTTCGAGGTGAATGATGAAGAGATCAGAAGGAAGCTTTGAGCTAATTGTTAGACCTGAACTTCACATGACTATAAATGGGTCTAGACTTCGGCTGTCTCGCATTTGGACAATCACCAGAAGAATGACTTGTTGTCTATAGCTCAGCGAAGAAGGACTAGGTTCTTAGTTGAGTTCTTGTGGTGAGAGTAAAGTATGATATAAATAAACTTTAGCTCAAAGCTGGGGATATACAGTGAGAGCTACACTACTTATATAGGGAAACTGGAGTACTAAGAATAGAACAATAACCATGGTTGTCATTTGGAAACAATAGAAAACAATGAGGTAGTCAGGCAATAAGTATGAGCTGTAGTACAATCATTGAGAATGTCCATTATGGTCGTGGTAACTATGAACAAGCACTTGAGATAAGATGAGATAGCAATAAGTGCTTGATAAGATAAGATAAGCAGAAAAATCGTAACACTTAGGTGTTCTTGCCTTAGCTGGTACTCATATGATAGAGCTTTTTGGTGTTTGTGTCCTCTGCCTCTGGTTTGGTATGCTAGTGACAAGACTTGCCCACTAGTGACCATACATTGTGTAGGTCCACTAGTTTTGAGTCATTAGTATTAGCTGGCAGGTAGAGTTGACCCACTAGCGATGTCACATCTAAGTCCTAGTGTTACTAGTAGCCATTTGCACTGACTATCAGCTCAAAGCCTCCACTATAGTCCTCATAATGCCACTAGTATCAGGTAGATATGCAATAATATTGATATAAAATTGCAAAATCTAGATGTGAACACATAGACTGCATATCACTGGGTCTTGCTGTTTCAACTGCATGTACTGTAGATTGTAAAGATGTGCTAGTGTTGCTGAGGTCACCCAATGCATCTCCAATGATGTGCCCACTTGGTGAAGTAACAGCTTGAGTCACTGTAGTTCTGGAGTATCCATAATAGGTTGATATCTTTGATGGATGAGTGTGGTGATAGGTGACATCAATAGGGTCTAGCAATCAATGATGTGTAGCAAGGCACTTTGATGTGGATGTGGCATTACCATATATGACTGAGGGCCCATCAAAATTGGTGTTAACATGTCTGTAATGCTGTGAAGTGTCAGATTTCAAGATGGGATGGATAACAAACATGCAAAGACATATTGTTGTGATACAAAAGTGGTATTGCCATGTTGGCAATAACTGGTTTGATGAAATTCCATCAGATGGACTGTGTGTAGGAATTAAGGGTAATTTTGTGAAATTCTAAGCATACAGAGCCTGGAGGCTCATCACTGACAAACTACATTCTTTCAGCAGATAAGCCTGCCCTAATATACCTATTTAAATAGTGCACACCAACAAAGTATATCTGTTTTTGAGATGATCTACTGAGACCTCCTTCTGGGAAGGTTTCAACCATAACCCTCTATGGAGTGTCATAGGTAGACATAATGCCACCAGCACCGGTCTTTTACAGACCAGACCTTCTCATCTCTGCTCCCTTAGTCAGACAATGCACTGACCACATACTTGTGTACTACTGCTACAACAAAACCTGTTAAACCTGTACTTTGCAATATCATGACCAAACAAGGGTTCAAAATTGTGGCTTCAATATATCTTGATTCTGCAGACTAAACATGATTAAGTTATGGGGACCAAAATGTCTTTTTTACTCACCACTGCTGCAACCAATGTCAGTATTTATGTTTTGACATGGTCTGTCATATTGACTTTCCTTCACTACTAATTAATCTTCAAGGCCAGGACAACATGTCCAATCAAGTGCTAGTCAATTATTGTTGGATTGACAGGAAATTGTCTGTCCTCTTAAAGGTGCTCTGTGGTGCTCCTCACTGTTCACCCTCACAATCTCCACTTAATCAAGTGGCCTTCTTAATTATATAGTCATGTATATAATCTAGTTGTACATGCTGAAATTTCACAGTTTTGGGTTGGCATAATACCTATCAACAGTTGTGACTCCTTATAGCTGCAAGTCTGAACTCAGCAAGAATCAAAAGTTAAAACTCCGGCAGTGAAATTGGAAACTTATTTAAAATTTGACAAGAAGAGGATTTGAACCCCTGCCATTGTACAATGAGAAACTGCATTAGGGCAAGCCTGCATGATATTTACATGATTGCTTAGATGAATAGTAGGATTTCATACTTGACCTTGGGTTGTAATATGATAGACATGAGTATGGCAGTGCCATTCAGAACAACAATGGTTTTTTATGCAACATGTATGTCATATAAGTAGCAATATGTTAATTTTCCTAACAAAAGCTAAATATTTGTGGAGTGGACTGAGTGAGCAAGACTAACAGTGAACCTATAGTACATTCCAAGGTCCTCCACTTCTTAGCTCCAAATAAAAGCTAACAGAAGGCCTGAAAAGGCCTGAGGGAACCAGGATACATCATTCAATATACAGTGATCACTGATGATTCATGAATCATGAGAAACCCAAAGAGTAACCAAAATGACAAGGATGGAACTTGACCCCACACTACAATACCATAATGAGAAATCCTTACTGAGTCAAGGTTTCTAGAATCAACCAGAATACTTGAGTCACACACCTTAACCACTCAGCCACCTTGCCTCTTTAAATCTCTCTCTAAGCTTTGCTTGATTCACCACTGATGAAAATGGAAACAATTGAGCTGTAGAGGTAGAACATGTTTAGAGAAGTTAGACAAATATCTATATCAAGTGGATGAATAAGAAATCTGTGGGTTTGGGAGGAGAGAACTCGGTGTCCAGAAGTTTCAACAAGCCAAGAGTGTGAAGGTACTGACAAAGAGACTTGCGGAAGAAGCTGAGAGCTCAGGTGATCAGGAGACCTGGAGTGTGAGTAGCATAGGTGTGAATGAAAGTAACTGCTGGATCAAACCAGGAACTACCTAAACACAGAAGCGAGAAGGTGGGCAGATCAAAGAAGAGTGAAGTGAGTGAGGGAATGGAGTAACCAGAAGAAAGTGAAAATGAATGCAGATGCAATGGCTTACTACTGATGCTTGTGGGTCAGTCTGAAATAAAAAATAAAAAGAGAGAAAAAAGGAAAGAACTGGCACCAAACAACACAATTGTTTTGTGGTTTTTTAGAATCTGCAGGTAGATCTTTTGAACTTCCCTGCAAGCCCAATGTGGAGTGCAATTGAGCAACACCATATATAGTGCTATCATGTTGTTGTTGCACCTATGCTCATGGATCTGCTCTTTAATTCTAGAGCCACATGCCTCAGACTGCTTGGTCATCTCACCATTCCATATAGCATAGGGGAAGACAAGCCTATGCCCCACATCTTTGTCATGATTGCCAGACTCTTGTACCTTGGGTCTTGGAAACCTGACTACAACATGGGACTTTGGCTTGTTGGGGCCCACCCTAAACCTGGCTTATTACTTATATATTTTGAGGTGTAAGTATGAAAGATATATATATTATGAGTGTAATAGAGCTTCAGGATATACAATATTCAATGTATCTGTGTTTTTTTCTGTAGATGGAAAGAGGACTCGAATCTGTTGTCTAGAGGTGCAGCAGCTAAGTGCCATATAAAGTTGTTCATGTGAAAAAACAGGAGTATGTAAATCTAATCCAATATAGATGACTGACTGGCCTTAGGACTTGTTGATTGTCATGGCAAATGCCAACCTGACTGGAAATTGATGATGGGAGAAAGCAATAGGGAGATCTGCTGTATCTGCATTGATTGAGATACAGAGATGAAAACAGTCTTGCCTGCATTGTTTCCACTGAGAATATAACATTCCAATACATGAGGACAGGCACATGTAAGAATCATTTGTGTCCCATTGCATAGGCTATTGGCTGGATCTAAATTGCATAGGAGCATAAGAGGGCAGTCAATCTTGAGAGCCAGCTTTGCACATGGTAATCCAGAGACATTGAAATTCTGAAGAAATTTAACTGGATAAAGGGTAACTGAATCACCCAACTCATCCTCCATCATCTTGTCAGTGCTCCAATAGACTGTCTCCTGGCCTGGAAATTTGTCCAAAACCTGCTGATTGACTTCATCAACATCATCATTATGTCCAGAGAGAATTATTCTCTCCAAAAAGAAATGATCTTGAAAATTGCCAGCTTCAATATCTGGATAAATGTATCTGATAAGTCCAGAAAGTGTAGAGTTGGTAAGGTGCATGGAAGGAGGAAGAGAGATAGTTCACTCTTCTGTAAGGCCTTCACCTGCACCAACTGTCAATAGCCAATGTGCAAATCTGATGTTTTCTGGGGTCTGGTCCAGGTACATGTTTGTTTTCAAATGGATGACTTGAATCTGAGCCCACAAAGATGACTGATGAAATGAAGCTGCAACAATCTGTTCTTGGGATCCTCATGGAACAACAGGCAATGTCTGATGAAAGTCACCTAAGAGAAATGATTAGATGAAATGATCTTAGAGACTTGGAATAGAAGCATACATACCACCAAATAAGACAGTGATTCTACCAAAAGGAGCATCATTATTGCAGATATCATGAAGAGTGCAATCAACTGTCTCAATATCATATCAATTTTGCATAGGAACCTCATCCCAAATGATAAGAGAAGTTTGACAAAGAAGTTCAGCCAGGTGAGTTCCTCTGCAAATATTGCACATTGTATCATCATGTGAGAGGATTGGAATTTTGAAGGTGCTATGGCTTGTACAACCTCTGGCTAAGAGAATTGCAGATATTCCAGAGGAAGCATAGGTCAATGCAATCTGTCTTTGCACATAAACAGCAGCAGCAATTGTATTGCATGCAAAGGTCTTTCCACCACCTCCCACACTATGAAGGAAGACTGATTTTCCATGTTGCTGAGCTGTAGAATTGATGACAATATCAAAAGCCATCCTTTGCTCTGCATTAAATGTTTGAGGATTCCTATCAGCCAATTGCTGCAGGGATGGAATATTGTAGGCCGACTGGGCTGCCAAAAGAGGATTGTTGTTATGGATATTGACTAAGTAGTATGAGTAAGCCTCCACTTCCTTTAGTTTCTCTTTCTTTCTGCACAGTTACAGAAATTTCTTGATGCCTCTAAATTTCCTATTTTAGCTAGAACATTCCAGACAAAGTAGCTAGTATATAATTCATGTATCGTTGCACCTGAATGGGCATCTGAATTCATTTTACTTAACTCCACTACTTTGTGTGAACCTGAGTGATTGAGTTCAACTATGCCTAGTGCTTGCTAGACCTACTTGGGTTCCTTCACAGGTAATAGAACTCATTAATCTTTTTGCTACACTATATATTTAGATTATATTCAAGTTGTACTTAGCTCATACATTGTCTAAACTATGCCTACTCTCAACATTGGTGGACACATTGATCTTACCTGTCTGAAGGACTCCGTTATCACCGCATTTCAGACCCATTCACGACTTCATCGTTCAACTGACCAATAACCATGTCAGCATCTGCTTCGGAAGACCACCTTCCCAACTCACCGAATAATCCTCCAACACACAACCCCTCCAATGGCTCTTTCACCTTTGCTGACATGCTCGTCCCACTAGTTTCGCCTATCCAACCTGAGGACGCTGAGAACGATGAGAGTAAGGATGTTGAAAGAGCATGGCCTACCTCGGTACTACTTCATACCTTCACTCAACACTCCAACCTCAAGGAACAGAAGGACCATGCGCTGCAGATCCTTAAGCTGGGTACCAAAATTGGTAAAGGATTATGCACCACGGAATTTCTTAGTTTCAACCAGTATTCTAAAACCTTCATTGAGGAAACTGTAAGAATGGACAGGTTGCTTTGACATCCGGTAGCCACCCCTACAGATGATGAGGAACACGTTTACAGACTCCATCTGTCTTTGTATCGGGATTTCCATGCTTTTCTGGCCACGAAACATTCCATGGCTACGAAGTCTCTTCAGTACTTCGGTTACTGTGATCTGGTTGAACCCATCTGGGGCTTGGATGTCCGACTTTATTTGACTGCGAATGACTTCAAAATATATGCCTTGCAGTATTGAATTCATGTGGAACAATTTCTCTACATGCTTGATGCTGTTCATGACTGGGAGAAACTTTGCACCCGAGTTATTCTGCATGAGGAGTTATTAGCAGCTCAACACAATGCCGATAAAGCTCATGTCAAGAAGGAAGATGACATGTCTATTTCTCCTGCACCTGCACCTTCTTCTAAACCATCTCCCAAATTGAAGACACCTCATTCTGCGACCACAGACGTTGCTTCTGATTGGAACCTGGGGGGGGGGGGTAAGACGTGCAACTACTGGAGAAGAAGAACAGAGACCGAGTAATAGACATGCCTCTCAATATTCAACCAGAGCGGCCGAGATTTTGGGTTATTCTCACCATCAAGCGGACTCAAGGATGAACCAATCACATGGATTTAGCCAGTGAGAGCACAAGAGTCTATGAGCAGCTTCCTACCAGCCCTGTACTCAGGCAGAGTCCAAGGACAATCAATCCTCAGTTGAAGGCAATGATCCTCCTAGTGATCCCGATTCAGAACCTAGTGATGACAATGGAGATAGACACCCTTCTCGAAGACCATTGATGAATCCAAAGTCATCCAACCAAACTATGGAGAGTTCTCGTATTCATTTCGATACTAAGCTCAAAATGAGTGATGTACCGACTTGGAACGGTGACCTAGACACCATCGTTTCTTGGATCTTGAAGGTCAATGATCTAGCGGCTATGAGTGACTCAGTCTTCTTGGATTTGGGATGTATCATTCCCAAAAGATTCTCTGGAGACATGGAGAAATGGTATTACTCCTTGCCACTGCAGTACAGATTGGACCTGGAAAGGAATTGGGCTACACTTAGAGAAGGAATTATGGATTACTACATGAATAGGCATTGGTGGGAGCGTCAGAAGGACAGAGCATGAAGCGCAACATACCAGCAGCCTGGACAAGCTAGGGAGACTCCTAGTGAATACTACATCCATAAATCTGAACTGTTGAATACTGCATTCAGTCTAACTGACTCCGAAATAATCAGTCAAGTGATGGATGGTGCTCCTTTGAATTGGAATACTGTATTAACTACACAGCTTTACAGGACAGCTGTCAAATTCCAAGCCAGCATTTGCTATCACGAAGATCAGCTACTACGACTAGACCCCAGTTATTGAGGATGAACCTTTAACATGTATGAGTTACGAGCATCCCAGGATAAATACAGCCAGCCATATTGACAATCTCACACTCGTCTAGTTGGTTCGTCCAGTTGATTTCCTTCTCCTCCCTTTCCAAAGGATGACTCTAACATCACCCGAAGAAAGAAGGCACCTAAGGACATAGGGGCTTGTCCATGCTGCAACTGTGGCAGCAGTGAGCATTGGGATCTGGAGTGAAAGTACTATGAGGAAGGAATGTGTACTGCTAGAGCTCGTCTTGCTGAAATGGACATTTCTGAGCTGCAAGCGCAGGATGAGTATAATGAACTATACTATGGCCTTGCAGCCAAAACAGATTCTGACCTTGTTTCTTGCCCTGCCAACTGTTCATGCTGACATGTTTCATCAAGTAAAGACTATGAGCAAGTGTTGGTTAGCAGGAACACAGTTGAGGATGACAAGACCGAATCAGTTC